CGCAGCTGCCCCGGGGGGTTTCTCCTCCGCCCCGGCACGGCACAGCCGTCGGACACTGCCACGTAATTAATTCACCACTGCCCCTCCCCACCACCACGCACCCCCTCCCCGCGGATGCCCACGGTGGACACCAGCAAAGACCGGTCGCTCTCAGAGCCTCAGCAACGGGCAATGCTATTTCTGGCAGCGTCACTCCCCCTCTCTCCTCTTGCCCACTCGCTCCTTCCTAAACAGTTTAACGCCATTGATTTTCCCATGCCAGCCATCCACCGTCTGCCGGCAGGCTTCAGAGCACCAGCACGATGTTTGAGCAAAGCCGGGGAAATCCAAGAAATCATCCTTCACAGTCCCCAGCCTCCATCCCCCCAAGTGGCAGCAACCAAAATTCATCCCTCCCTGAAGGGTACCATGCTGACACATCCACCCTTCCCAGGCTGGAGCTGATACATGACTCCCATGCAACATTTCAGGTTTAAACCAGGTCATTTTCTTGGTTTAAACCTTGTTTGTGTGTTAGCCACCAACAGAACTGCTTGCAAGGGCTCCAGCTTTCCTCCAGTGCCGATTGGTCTGTCTGGGGCAGTATGAAAACCCCATCACACTACACGTTAGCACAGAATCACCATCTGGGAATACAACATTCGTGCTTGCTTGGACTTTACACGCTTTTCTCTGACTGCAATGGGCCAGACAGCCCCTACAAACAGGGCCAGCAATTTAACTGTTACAGTCCCCACCTGCAAACAGAAGATGCTTAAAGCCTGCAATCATCCGGATGGGATCCCCAGTCTCAGAGAGCATCCAGTGTAGCCTCCGTGGGGGTCAGGACTGCAGCCGGGGCCAGGACTGGGGCTCTCCAGTAAAACTGAGGCTTCCCCCTAAAGCAGTGGCTGCCGGGACCAAACTTCTGGGCTCCTGCAGCTCCAAGAGCTGCTCGCAGGCTCTGTCCCACGGCTACCCAGCACCTTTACCCTCTGCAAACGATGCTTAGCTCATAACCTGAACTAGGGTCCAGGAAAATAACTGAAGGCAACTGGTCTGTCCTGGTCCTTTTTCTTGCCTAAAACCTCCAAGTAAAATCTAGCATCCCGACGGGGAGGAAGAAGGCTTTATGTCCAGCCCTTTCCTGTTCGCTCTTTCCTTGCTCTTCCCATTCTCAGACGCAATCCCTCGATGAGGAAGCACCAGTTGGGACGTCAAGACATAAACCTGCCCCATCTCTCCTCCAAAAAACACCCTCAAGCCAAAACTGGTCCAACAAATGCACCATCCCCTTCACCAGCCAAGAGCAGACATCCCACATACAAGCCACCTCCCGCACACCCCCAGGGCATCTCCCCACCCACCACCAGCCTTGCACACACAGACCTCACCTTGCTGGGGCTGTATGTGTGCAGTGCTCCCGGTATTCACCCGTCCTGCGCCTCCCGAGACACCTTGTGTCACCCAGTGCCGACTGCAGGAGCGCCCCCCACCCCTCACGGCTCGCTTCCAGCACGCTCCTTTTCATTTTGCACAGAAAACCGGGCCTCAAATCCCGCGGCAGAGCTTGTTGACGCCAGCGAGCGCGCGAGGAGATCGCCACGGGAGGATAAGGCTGGTGTCACATCCCGCAGGTCACACGCAGCCACCAAGGGGTTTCTAGACACAAGACTCAACGCGGCCCCAGCACCCCAGTTACCCCTCTGGAGAAACTTCTCCGAGGCAAAGACACTCCACAGTGGTTTTAGGCCCTTTCCAGCCACCTCGGATCTCCAGCCAAAGCGTTGAATCGCCTGCAGCGGGTCCAAAAACAAGCCCAAGTATTCACCCCTGCTGCCGAGAGCCAGGGGCCTCCCGTGCTGCCCCGGAGCCAAGCCAACATCTCTGAGTCAAGCTCCTGTCACCCACGAGGTTTCCCATCCCATCTGAAAAATCAAAGCGAGCGATTTGGATGAAGACCACAGCACTAAGTGCGTGGCTATGGGGTGCTGCTCAGTCCAGATGTGGCCTGGCACATCTGGAGCCCGGGAAGCAGCAGTACAGGCACAGATCCCACTGCACAGCCTAGCCCCTCGAGTAGGTTTTGGCTAGGGATGCTATAGATCAAGCAATGCATCCTCTAAAGAGGCTCGGGTGCTCTCCACAGCCCACAGGAGCTTTAACATGAGGCCCATAGAGAGCATTTCTAAAAAACCCAGTCTGCTGCAAGACATGGAGCACCGTGTATGTGCAGCCTGCTTGAAACGGCTAACGGATCGCATTTATTCCAAGCTTGCTACTTCCATATGCCAGGGGAAAAAAAAAAAAAAAAAAAAAAAAAGCCCAAAACCAGAGCAGTGATGATGAATTTCTAAAGCTACTGTAGCAAGTAGAGGGATAAAAAAAAAAAAAAAAAAAAAAAACCTGTAGTAGAAGAAATCTCATGCCATCTCCCAGAAACTCCCCACACTGTAAATGCCAAATTATTAAATCAAAAGGATGAAATAAGGGGAAAAAAATTCCCTTCCATAACAGATTGGCATTGTGTTTTCTTTCAAAATGACAACACTAACTGTGGTCCCTCACTGCTGCTTTCATATTCTGCATCTGCTTCAGCAGCTTGTTATTTAAGAAGTAAAACCTTCGCCCTCGGGTCTGAAGCAGGGCACAGAAACACAGACTGGGCGCACGCTGCCCGGGCAAGAGTGCAGCCGCCGTGCTGTCACCTAGAGGGACTTACCCAGGGCTGGCAGAAGGGACAAGGGCTCATCCTAAAGCCAACAGGACCTGGGGCCCGATTTGTTGCCCCCCTCGTTGCTGCGCTCCACCCCGGGGACCACCGCAACCCCCCCCGGGGTGATGTGTAAGGCTCAGATCCTCTCCCGGTCACAGCGGTGCGTGGCGCCAAACGAGGGGCTCGACCAACCCACCAGCCAAACCTGCACGGAGCCACTGATGCTCCTCAGCACCCCCAGGGCCCGCTCCGACCCAGCTGGAAGTTTTCCATGATGGAAACAGCGAGCCCCTCAGCCCAGCCTGCCCCGTGGCAGCAGCACGGCCCCAGCCCGCTCCCGGGGTGCAAGAGGGGAATGCCAGTGGGTGCTCCCCTCGTGCTGCAGCACCCATGTCTCCTGCAGCTCCTGCCATGGCTCACCCGACCACCCTGGTGTCCTGGGACGGATTAATCCCCCTCTGGATCCCAAGCGATCCTTGTTTAAAAATAGGGCTCTACCCATGGCTCTCCCAGCTCTCACGGGCGTCATCACCTTGGCCCCAGCGCGCTTCCCGACGTGACTAACGCCAGCGGCGTGTGACTAACACCCCGTCCCGCGCCGGGGAGCAAGACGGCCCCCCAGCAGCACAGGCAGGCAGGAGTGGGCGGCCGAGCCGCAGCATTTTGGCTGGAGCGAGCTCTCCCCCCCCCCCCCCCCCCCCCCCCAGCTTCCTCGCAGGGTTTCTCCGTGCGTCTCGCCCACCCTGCCTGCACGCACCACCCCGGGCTGGGAGAGGGTTGTGCCACCCACCACCCCCCCAGTCGCAGCATCCGAACCAGTCCAGCCCTGGCGCAGGGATGCTCAGCCCCCAGGTCCCCCCACGGAGCCAGGGCCAGGCTGCCATCCCAAATCCACTGCCGTGCGCCCAAGGGATCGTGCAAATCTAGTGATGCTTTGGCTATTTCTGAAAACCCTGGGGCCTGGAGGCAGGTAATGAGGGAAAATTCAGCTCGCTCAAGAGGAAGGGCTGGCCCAGCCCCACACACCCGCTACAGAGATGCAGTCCTGGCTCAGTGCTAGATGAGCAGCAGTGTCTGATAATCCCCAAAGCAGCCCCAGCCCCTGAGGCCTCATGGAAAAAAAAAAAAAAAAAATAATTTAAAAAAACCACAAACAAAAAAAAGCCCCACACAACATACACACCAAGGAAGATGCTGATTTACTGCAGAGAGTCCAGAAAACAATCACGATCTGGAAAACCATGAGTTTGGAGAAAAGATGGGAAGAAGTGCAATTGTTTGGCATCAAGATGATGGAAACAGAAGCAACAACATCTTCAACCACACCAAGCATCACTGAGAGGCCACCAGAATAAGCTGCTCCCCAGCCAAAACAGAACCAGACCAGAAGTCCCTTCTAGTTCCCCCTCCTCTCTCCTCTTTGGCCCCAAAGTTTCAGAAAAGACAGACCTGAGAACATGACTAGAAGAAGTGCTAATGTTTTTCAGCTCATTTTTTAGATCACAGATCAAAATCTTGATGTGTTTCTATATCCTAATGTAATGTTTTCGCCTCTTTGGCTGGAGGAAAGAGCAGGATACAGCAGCCCAGAGCCTGCAGCATTCAACCCTTGAAACTGCAAATATAGACACCCAAAAAAAAAAAAAAAGGGGGGGGGAAGGGAAGAAAAAGGGGCTAAAATCCAAGATATTCAATGCAACCAGCACACAAGGAAACTTTTTGAAGCCACCCATACCCCTCCGCCCTTCAGAAATACATTAAACACTCCTTGAGACAGCTTTTATACGTTGTGCTGGGAACCACGTGTGGCCCGAGGGAGGATATTTGTCTTCTCCTCCCAGTGATGCTCAGCAATAGCCACCAGCAGCCCGCGTGGTTCAACGGCAGTGATGCAGGTCATGCAGAAAAGCACCAGCATCACACAGGCAGCACCCTTTTCTGTCGCCTACATCCACCCGGTCCAGCCTCAGTTAGAGGAGCCCCACGTCGAGGCAGGGGGATTGAAAGGTCCACACTCAAAGATCTCCCTCAATCTTCCATTCTACACACTCAAGTATCACCATGCAGACGAAATCCCCGCTTGCGCTCCTGAACCAAGGGTCCTTCCCACCCCACCACAGCAAAACAGCTTCCCCTGGGCAGATGTAAGCATTTCTCAACGTAGTCCTGTAAAGCAAGGTTAATATTGGTGTGCTACAAGAGCACGAGGTGGGGTGATCAGTTCCTCGTGCAGTGTACTCATGTTTTCTAATAGCAAGAATCCAATATCACCTGGGAGGGAGATCTGTCAAGCCTCAGTACTTACTCTGTAGATCTAGAAGCCGCATTTTGCTTATTTGCCAGGTCTGGTCTCCTCTAATATTAAGAAAAAAAAAAAAAAAAAAGAAAAAACACGAATTAAGGGAACCGATGAATAACAGAGCAAAATGAAAACACTGTAAGGTGCTCTCTCAGATGTGTCCAACTTGATTTTCTTCTTTTTAACGCATCTAAATTCTCACATCGACATGACAATGCTCCTGCTGCAGGGCGCTCCAATCACAGCATAAGCCTTTTATTAGTAAAATACATATTTGATCCAACAGAGCAGCTTCAGCCTTTCTTCTCACTGCCTCACCCCAGCTCTCCTGCGCTGGCACGGCAGGTAGGATACTCCTCCGAAGATGACAGAGCTAGATATCACACATATGTGTGAGCACACATGTTTTCCTTTTCTCCCCCTCTTCCAGGCACAGAGAAACAAGGAGCAGTGCCCCAGAGCCCCCCGTCCGTGTCCACGTCCCTTTCTGCCTCCCCAGCAGCAGGAGCACAGCACCGCTGAGAACTGACTGCCCTCCCCATTTCAGTGCATAAGTGACTGGTGTTCATCAGCATCCTCCTCTGCACCCTGCATGCCGTTCCCCGGGGCACGGAGCCCCCCAGCAGCACCCACACCCCCTCGCGGTTACAGGTCTGGTGCGTACAACCGCCCACCCTTACAAAAGCAGTTGGTGACACCTCCGAGACACGCCGGTTAAAGCGCCACGCTCCCCTCCATCGCCTGCACCCCTGGGAGAAGCTGCTTTTGGGGATCCACACCGCAGGAGCTGCCCACCTCGTTACCCAACGCCTCTTCTGGCAGCCTGGGCCGAGAGACTCGCCCTGTTTTGGAGCGCAGAGGCTGCGGCAGGAGCCCCGGAGGGATCGGTGCCCGAGCTGCCCGCCTGCTCTCCAGGGGATGCTCCACAGCCCCCGGCAGCAGCTCGTGTTTCACGGCAGGGAAAGCATCCACGCCTTCGGCTCGCTTCCTGGGGTGAGCTGCACGGTACGGGTGATGGGAGGTCACATATGAGAGCTTTGCAAAATTAAAAAGAAAAACAGAGCAGCCTTTGGGGAAGTGGCCGAGATAATTAAAACATTAATTCAGATTGCAGCTTTTGCTCCAAGCGAGCTCGAGTCACCCAGAAATCCCAACGATGGATAGCAGCGGGTCTGAGCCGCAGCCCCATCCACAGGCACTCCAAAGCCCTCTCCATCACCCCAGCAGCCCTCTCCAGGGCAGAGGCTGGAAAGTTGCCTTCCTCTGAAAAGAATCACCAGGAGAACAACCTCCAGCTCTCGAGGAGCAGAGAGAAAATTAACTACCTGGAATAACAAGTAGAAAACAGGTGACAGTTTTGAGGCTAATAAACCCTCCCAGCAACACTAACAGCTTTCTGCATGAGCAAAACAGACAAAGTGACTAAAACAAAGTCACGACAGTCACAAGTAAGTTGAGTGAGACATGAGAACGACTGAGTAAGTTTTGGCAGTTGGTTGGAAACAGGCACTGCAAAAGCAAGCAGGCAGAGCAAGCCGCAGCATCCCCGCTGCCCGGCTCCACGTCCAGCTGTAACCCAGCAACACGGTGCTGGGCAAAGAGCAACATCCCTCTTCAAAGGTCCTACCACAAGAGCAAGGACTAAGGTTAATATCTGTGCATTGCCATAACTCATTGGGAGAAGGGTAAAATCCTGCAGCAGCGTGAAAATTCTCCCTCCCAGACCTTTACTAACACACGCGAGTGCTGCCAGCCCAGGGTGCAGGGGGGGAGCCGTGCAAAGGGCAGGAGCAAAGAAAGTGTCAGCTCCAGAAGCTGCTGAGGGAGAAAAGTGCCAATAGAAAGGAAAAAAAAAAAAAAAAAAGTCATTTGTAGCTGATGGAAACTGTCTACTCCAACACAGCAGACACGCTTCATTTCAATTTTGCTTTTTATATCACAAGAAGAAAAACACCACCAGATTTAAAAAAATGGCTTTCAAATCTTCAACTTCCTATTCCAACATCAAATTCAGGTGTTTCCAAAGCTTCTGCCCTCTCCTCGCCCTTCTCACTTGTTCTGGCGCATGTGCCTGGTGCAAACCAGCTTCACTCCACAGAAGCATTTCAGCTCCAACCAAACTGCCGTCTCCGAGGCCGGGGAAACCCCTGCGCGTGGCCACCAGACTGCAACGTGCTGGCCCAACACGCAGGATGCCCATGGGCTCGCCGGGCCACCAACCTGCACCACGAGGAGCTGTTTTCCTCCTTTCCTTGCTCAGCATCACCCCAGCACGTGAGAAGGCATTCGAGGGCACCCCTCATCCCCCCGTGACTCTACCCTCCGATCACAAAGTGCTCCAAGACCCAGCAGCGCTTCTGATGCTGGAGAGGGGTCCAGCCCCTCCCTGGCAGGGAGACCAGGGGCCTAGAGCAGCCTCCAAGGAAACACCGTTGCCAGAGATGAAATAGGGAGACAGCAGTCACTGAACACAAAACAAGGAGGACCAGAAGAGGCACGTAAAGGATTTATAAATCCCCGTGTAGATCAGAAAAGCCACGTGAGCATCGTCTCGCCAGAGGATGCTGGTGAAAGCGGCGGCTGCCACACACCAGCACAGAGCAAGAGATCACCCCGAGCCTGCTTCCTCCTCCCAGGAATCTGGCACCCTGGAAAAACCTGCCCAGCCTTTGCGTTTTGCAAACCTCGGCTCTAAAAATAACCATCGGTGCAAGTGACACATTTTGAGTGGAGCCGGCGAGCGGCAGCCCACAGAACCAGACTCACTTAGCATCAGCGGAGATGTGTTTTGTAAACAGGTTTTTTTTAAGGTTGCTTAGTAAGCTGCTGATCAAACAGCCAAAGCCGTTGTCTGATGTGGCAGAAATGAAGGGGGGACCCAAAAAGAGGGAAAAATCGCCGAAGAGGAGGACGGGATGGGGAAAACTCAAGGGCTGGACCCCATTTCCCTGCACATCCCTCATGCCTCAACTCACTTTTAAGATGTAGTTTCCCACCCCGTATCACCCCCCAGGAGGGGTCCCAGCTCCAGCCATGCCCACGGCGCCCATGTGCCATTGCCAGCTGCCTCCAGAGAGCAAAAACCCAGCTTGTACAGAAAGCAGAGAAGCAGCAACAGCCAGACAGACAGACCACCCCGCTGCCGGGAGCTGCACAGCATCGCCCACCTTCCTCCCCACACCCCTGGGTCAGCGGGGTGCCATCCTGCCCCGGCTGCTGCAGCAGCTCCCCGGGGGACCAGGATGATTGACAGAGCATAGAAGAGGAAGAAGAGTCCCCCCCAAACTGTTGCTCAGTTAATCATGGTAATTAGCCACCATCTTGAGCGACTCCCATTACTTCCAGCCTGATTTTTCCCAGGCACAGTCAGCACGCAAGATCTCAATTAAAACTCACCACGCAGCCAACTTGGACGTAGCCACCCTGGCCCACCACGGGGCTCATCCAGCTCACGGCAACGTGCAGAAGAGGCGCTCCTTTCCTTGAAGGACCCCGTTTAATTCATTTTAAACTGGCTCTTATTTCCCAGCCCCGCTCGGGAAGACTCCACGAACGCACGCCAGCTTTGCAGAGCAGATGCCATCAGGCTGGAGGGGAGAGGCTTGCATTTTTCCCACCCGCCGCCGGGATTGGATCCATGCCCCGAGCGCAGACCTGAGCTGGGGTTTCTCTCCGGAGCTGCGCCCGAGTGCTCCCACCGCCGTGTGAACCCCCTGCTTCCACCCCGCGGCAGGCAGGGCAGCAGCCTGCACCCCGCCCCGGTTTTTGGGGGAGGAAGCACGCTCTTCAGGGCTCTTTGCTAACAGTTGCCAGGTTGCACAGAGCCCTTCCCCCTCCAGCACCCGTCCCTAAAAATCACACGTGATGGGCCAAAAATCAAACAAGCTGCCCAGCACGGACCAGCTTCCTAAAAGCACTCGCGCTGGTCCCAGTTGGAACGCACGAAGCAAACACACCCCTTACCACAACCAGGGTAACAAGGGGTTAAAGCCCACCTTCTGCCTGCAACTTGGAAAAACGAGGCAAGGGAAATACAGATGCTTTGCTGAACCAGAAAAGCTTCATACAAATATTAGCCAGAGCTTAATTGGCCCTCTCCGGGGATGTGCTCACAGGAATAAGGCTCATCATCGCCCAGGCCTGCCTACACCTCCATGCTTTAAAGCACCTTTCCGGCTGGTTTTGTGCTTATTTATAGGCAGCAGTCCTCGGAGAATCGCGGGAGGAAATGAAGCTCAACCCCTTCCACAGGCAGCTTGACAACTTCGAGCTTTCTGCCGCTTAGGGGAGAGGGAACAGAAGTCAGGCTCCAGCACCTCTAGCATCTTGCCCGTGCCATCAGACAGGTGCTTTAAACCAGGAGCTCAGCATGTTTTTAACAGGATTGCCCATTCCCTGCTTGTTAAACATCAGGAAATAGAGTGTTTTGGTACCAAGGAAATCAAAGAACAAACCCGAGCCAGGCTGGGAAGCACGGATGCTTGTGGATGGCGAGCAGGGCTCCGCGCCTCCATGGGGAGCGGGTGTTTCAGTGCCCATGCTGCCTCCTGTAAACTGCCTGGTAAACCCAATATTTGATTTAAATCCACAAGAGATGGCTTCTGAGGCAGGAGGCACATAATTCAGCCTGGAAAGTGCTAAAGATAACACCTCTCTGTGCCGAAGAGGAGGAAAACATCCCTTCGGACACAATAATTAACACAGGAGCTGGGCACAGTTGGGGGGTGGCCTTGGCATGGTATTTTTGGGGAGAACCCCCCAGCAAAGCAAGGGGGGAACCTAGCCCGTCGTTGTGCAGATGCCACATATCAACATCACATGGGAATTGTGAAATAATTGATGCCAGGGAACCTCTGATCCAGCCCGCTGCTCGGAGCAAAGCCAGGGCGATGCCAGAGATATTAGAAAGGGAGAAACCCTGAAGCCTTTGCTGGGCTGCTGCTGAGCTTTTGCCCCCCAGTTCCCCAGCTCCTGCCTGCCCTGCTCATTTCTCAGCCTGACAGAAAGCTCAGCAGCCTCTCCCCAGGCATGAGGCCTCATGGCTGTGACTAATGGTATGTTTTGACATCCCTGAAATACTCCAGCACTTCATTTCAGCCGCGGGGAGCAGGAAGGAAGGAGGGGACGTGCTGGTGGGGAGCCGGCACCACGAAGGAGGGGCAGGAAGAGCTTTTGCAAAAGCAACAGGCAGCGATAAAGCAAAGCAGCATGGAAGAGATGCGGGAGATGGCAGAGGGGCCGGTTGGGACCTGGAAGGCACGCGGGAAGCCTGTCTGATCTGCTCCTCGCCTGGGCCTTCCTTGGAGCTCTGCAGAGGTATAAAGCACTGCATTTATTTAATACCCCCCCCCCCAGTTGCACTGCTTGAGGAGGGACACAGGGATGGCTCCACTAATTCCTAGCGAGCCTGTACGTGGTGGCAAGGGATGCGGGACTGTCCCGGTCCCCTGCCCAGGCAGGCAGGAGAAAGCAGTACCCCCCCAGCCGAGCCAGGAAGGTGACAGACAGTGATCCCTGGAGAGGTTAATTAACAAGCATCTTCTCTGTGTTAAAACAGTCACCTCCGGCCCCGGAGGGGGGGACCAGCAGAGACACAACCCCAGCCTCTGACAGAGGAGCAAAGAACATCCCAGCCACCAGCCGAGCTGCTGGTCGCGACCATCTGCCAGCCAGCAGCACCGGGGAGAGGAGCAGCCAAAACCATAGGGGGGGAGGGATCCGGCTTTTATTCCTGACAGCTCTTGCTCAGCGCCAGCTGCTCACGCTGGGGCTCAGATGGTCCTGCTGCACCCCAACGGGCTGGGGGAGAGGGAGGAGCAGGGCACCTGGACGGGGCTCCAGATCCCCACCTGTGGTCCCCAGAGAGTCGGAGGTGGAAAGTGGGACAGCCCTGGGAGAACTGGACCAAAACGCACCCTGCCCTGAGGGAAGAGGCAAGGGATGGCTCAGCGCACCGCCAGACTCACCCCAACCTAGCAGAGGACCCCTTAGCACTGAGGCAGAAGAGCTGTCCTCCAGGCTGTGCCACCCCACTGCCCGTCCACCCCATTTCAGCCATGAGCATCCTTGGTGGCATCCAGGGATCAACCCAACCACAGGATGCAGAAAGTTAGCAGGAGCTCCGGCTGCCATCACCAGGGTGCCACTCACAGAAGTTTTCTTGGGTCACTGTGAGCAAGGAGCCCAGAGGCAGCAGTAGTGGTGATGGGGGGAGAGGTGGGGGGATTGTTTTCTCTTTTCAGCTGTCACTAAAGTCATCAGTGTGGCTGTGTGTGAGTGATTCACACCAGTGTATGAAAAGCCTGTGACTCACACACTAGATGCGGTGGGTGGGTGCATTGACTCAACCACACCAGGGATGGGGCACGGGGGGCTGCAGCCTCACACGGCCAAGGGGACAGTCCTGTTCACAGGGGGGGGGGTCAAAGGCACCACTGGCCAGGAGATCCCCCCACCATGCTCAGATCATCAGTGCCTTCAGCAGCATGGGTGAACCCAGAGAAAACTCTGCACCTCAGCATCAACCTGTCGCCTGTCCGAAATAGGTGCTGAGGTGCAACAGGGATGGGCCAACACTCCCACTCTGCCTTTCACTGGGAAAAGGTTTACGCTGCCCTGTGTGACAGCAGAGGAGGAAACCCCCAGGGCACTCAAGGGATGCAAATGCATCCCAAATCACAGTGAACAAACTTTCCAGGTACTCCAGGACCAATCAAGGAAACTCAGCCAGGCAGAAGCAGAGACCAGAGGGGAGCTTGGTGCCAGCAGACAGCCTGCTGCCACAACCATCTTCTCCACCTCCCAGACCCGCAGATGCACATCCAAGGGAGCGCAGCCTTCCTGCCACACCACTGCCTGTGCCACGCCGCTGGAGAGCTGCTTTGCAGAGACACCCCCACAAAAGCCGACTGGAAGCACCCCAGTCCTCAATTCCCTGGCACCCCTCCGCTGCTGCTGTGTGCCACCAATGCTGCCCAGGCAGTTTGGGGAGAGGGAGCTGAGGGTTGCTCCTCCAAAAGACGCTTCCACGTGGATGAAGCTCGGTTTCCAGTTACTCAACGGGTGGTAGCTATGCCCCAGGTCTTGCCAAAGATGCCAGCAGCAGCCGCCGAGGCTGCAAACGTGTGTCTCATCTCGCTGACAGCACCTTCCGTAAACGCTATGCCTCATCTGCCAAACAGCCCCGGCCGTGGATCCGGACCAGCAAGAGTGTCACCACATCCCACAGCATCCTGAGCCCAGACCCACCACCACCCCCCCACCCCCCCCTCAGCCATCTGCAGCACGGACCAAGCCTGGCCTTGCATCAGCGCCAAGAGCAGGATGAGATCACCCACCCGGGGAGATGTGGTCCGTGGGGGGAAGAGGCAGGGTGGTCCAGGGTACAAGTAGCACTTGTGTGGTTCAGGATCGTGGGGGAAGAGTTATCCCTGGCCCCCCTCCAGCCGTGATGCAGAGTGCCAGCAGGAGCCACAAGCACCAAAACACATTCTCTGCAAGGCAAGAGCAGCCAGGAGAGCTGCAGGAACAAGACAAACCAACCCCGATTTGGGGGACCGCTCATTCATCACTGCCATCAGCAACACCCAAGCAGGAACCAAACTCAGGAGTGGCACCTGCACCCACAAAAAGCGGGGACTTCGTGCAGGGAGACAACAGGAGATGCTGGGCGCCCAGGGGACACCCATGCAAGAGAGGAGACCCTGCATGTTTGGGAGGCCTTGGGCTGGCAGAGGAGGGCTGGAGCTGAGCCAGCGCACGGCTGGACACCGCCGCTGCCCCTGCACGGGGCTCCCCAGGGCACCCCAACCTCTCAGGTGCCTGAGGCAGGGGGGGAAAAAGGGGGGGGGGGGTTTACACCCCCGCCTTCACCCACCCCATACAGGGCATGAGGCAGGTCGGACAGACACCCCTCCAGCCCACCTCGCTGTTTCCTGAGGGCAGCGGGACCCCCGGCCCCCCCCTTCTCCCCGGCCCATGAGCCACCTTAAGCAGCTCCGGGGCTCCCGCCGCTCCTAGGCTACCTTAATAAAAACTTTATCGGAGCGGAGCTTCTCTCCCCAGCGCCGCCGAGCCCCAGCCGTCGAGAAACCCACCCTCGGCAAGGAGCAAAGCGGGGCGTCAAGCTCCAAACTTGGGGTCCCCTCCCAAAGCGCAGCCCCGTCCCCCCCCCCCGTGCAGGGGGGAGAGCCGCGTCTCCCCCCCCCCCCCCCAGCCCACCTCTCTCCACTGCCTGTCGCCGGCTCCTTTCCCCGTTCTCTTCCCCCCAAAACACCGGCGGGAGTTGCGCCCGGAGCTCAGCGCATCCCCAGCGGCCGGGATGAGACAAAAGCCGCCGGAGAAGGGAGGGGAGGAGATGCCCACCGAGACCGAATCGCTCAGAGCGAGGAGGAGGAAGAGGAGGAGGATGGAGACAGCCCCAACTGGCGGGGATTGCCGTCTCCCAGCCGTCCCCAACAGGTAGCAGCGAGGGAAGAGCGGGGGGAAACGGGACACGATGTCCCCACGGCGACAGCGTTTGTCTACTTTGGGAGAGGGAGTGGGAGCTGCCCAGGGCCACCATCCCCGCCAGCAGCCAGCGCCGGCCACCGCTTACCTGGAGAGAGAGGCATGGCTCCTGCAGGAGAGCTGGGCGAGGTCGGGATATTATTCCAGAGACATTATTTGTAATAGAAAGGGAGAAAAAGAGCCGGGGGGAGGGAGGGGAAAAAAGGAGGGAGGGGAGGGGAAGGAGGGAGGGAGAGACAAGAGGAGCAGGGAAGGAAGGAATGCGAGAGGAAAGGGGGAGGGGGATAAAACGAAATTTAAAAAAAAAAAAAAAAAAAAAAAAGGAGAAAATAGAGACAGTTAAAATCTGTCTCCTGCCCACACAGTGGAAAAGAAATTTCTGACAATCGGAGAAAGGGAACTCGCACATATACCAGAGGGGGCAGACAGAGGATAACAAAGGAGGGAAGGAGATGAGCTCCACCAAAACAGAGCAGGAACTGTCCGGTCACACCTCCCATTGCACACACACCCCCTTGCACACACCCCGGGGGTAAGGACGGGGTGCACAGCTGAGTCTCTGCCCACCCAGGCCACCTCAGTCACCCCGGGATCAGCCACCCGCCCAGCAGCAGCACCCACAAACCCGCACCCCAGCTACTTCAGCAGGTTTGATTTAACAAGCTCAGTCCCACACCAGGGCTGGGGACTGGTGGCAAAGGACCCCCACGTTAGCACGCCAGCTTGTGCTGGTGCTCCCCAGCCCCTCTTTTGCAGCCCAAGTCTCCCCATTTCCACTCACCCCTTGCTCCCGGGGAGCTCCATCGCTCTTGCCATACAAAGCAACCATGAGTTTTCCAGCCAACACATACCCACACAAAACATAACCCTGCACTCCCTGCCCTTCTCCGATATGGGGCCTCCCCTTGACCAGCACCAAAGCAAGGGAAGCTGTGGGGACGAGGGACATGGAGATACCCGGCCCTACCAGAGGAGCCAGAGATTTACCCCACAGCATCTAAGGGCTGCCAGTGGGAAGGGGTTGCATTCAAGGCCTCTGCTCAAGTCACATTTGCAGATGTGCATCCCCACTGCTTCTGCCTGGGCTCCATTTTGCCTTCCCAGGCACCCTGAGCAGCATCCACGCTCATCTGGACCTGAAGGTGCAGGGTGGAGAAGCTAGAGGCGACGCAGGCTCTCTGCATTTCAGTCAAGGAGACCCACAGCACTGTCACAGATGCCCAGTGGTGCTGCTGGATCAAGGCAGCACACAGATCTTTTTATATTTCCCCTTAGCACGTGCAGGGAGAAGTCCTAGCATGGTGTGGCTCAGCACGAGCCCAGTTGGCGTGCACAGGGGTCCCCAAAATCTTGTCATTGCCGGCTTCTCTGGGAGACAGCCCACTGCAGCCCCAGCCCTGGGGCTGTTTGGGTGGGCAGGATGCCCCTACACCCCAGCATCCCTCCAGCTCCTCCCTTTCCTTCCACCACACTAACAAAGCATCCCAGCAAACCTTGGCTGCTTGGCAGTGCCCAGGAGCCTCCTGGACTTCAGAAGCTTTCAGGGCCAGACACTAGCAGCATTGCTAAGGCTGTCCCTGTCCTCATGTTCCCACTAAGCCCTAGCACATGCTGCCACATGGCACACAACCCCCCTGCCCCAGCACACACCCACACAGGGCAGCCCCGAGCAACATCACGGGTGCACATCACCCCAGAAAGCCAGGGCACCGGCCTGTTTGGGGACAGGTTATGTTGCTTTAGCTTTACCAAGACGTTGCATGGCTCTGCAGTGCCTGGCTGGCACCTCCGTGGCTGGGGAAGCAGCAGAACTAGGTGCCCAGCCACCCCCTCACAGGGATGCCCGCTTGTGCCGCCCAGCCTGGGCGCTGTCTCTTTAAAGCCTTCATCCCTAAATCTGAATGAAGCGAAGGGAAGAAAATCCTGAAGATGAGTTCTTCATTTAAACATCTCCTCCAGCGCTCATTTCCATTCACGCGCTCGGTGAGCGTGCTCCTGCCCCAACACACTTCTGCCAGCACCTCGGGGAGAGGGCACAGAGAAAACCTGCCAATACCCCTCTTCTTTGGGATGGGAATACACTGCACAACAAAATCCCAAATCCAGCCCAAGCAAGGCCATCCTGCCACGTGCAGAAGGGAAAACATGCTGCCAGGGAGCCCCCAAACACACACACCAGCAACCCCATTCCTCACCATTTCTCCTATGTTATTGCTACAAGCTAGCACTGGTAGGGATGCAAATGCACCCTATAAAAGCGTGTCCCTCTGGCCCCCAAGAGAAGTGGTTTTGACACCCTCTCACACACTCCCCTTCATGCAAGGCACCCCCAAATCCTGTCCTGCGTGGCCTCCCTGCAACTCAGATGACCCCAACGTGGCAGCCAGCCTGAACACAGACAGCTTTCTCAGTGACAAGCCCAGGGTCTTGATTTAAATAAATATATATATATGCTGTTACTTGGGGACTGGTGATGCCTTGGATTCGGATGTCTCCATGGTTACCTGCTCATGGTGGGAGCTGGGGGTAATTGAACTCTGGGGGTTCACCATTCATCGCCCATCTCCCTCTCTCCCCATCCCCACAGCCCTTCTGCCTTCCCCAATAAGCGCCAAGGCAAGGCTGCTCCCTGCCAGCGCAGCAGGAGGGGGAGGAGAAGCAAGGCTCTCCCCAAGAACTCGTTACGTGAATAATTTTGTCAGTTCCGCGGCTGATTAGACACGAATGCAGATCAGCTTCCCCATCCCGAAAGAAAAGACAATCCCCATCAGCGCGGAGACGAAGCCGAAGCATCTCCTCCCACCACCCAGCTAGACAGGAATGAAATACGGAGAGACAGCATCAGGAGCAGCGCCGACATCCCAGTGCCAAGCTGCTGTCGTCTCGGGGGAGCAGGCGGCAGAGTCAGAGGCGCCCGCCCGCCCGCCGGCAGCTCTCCCCGCAAGCTTGCGTCGCTCGCCGGAGCCTCCCAAAGCCCTGCAAGCGTGCAGAGGCAAGGCGAGCACCCCGGGTGCAGGTTAGCAGCCCGAGGCACTTGCTGGAAAGACAGCTAGAAAAAAAAAAAAAAAACAAAAAACAAAAAACAAAAAAACATCACACACACAGAAAACAGAACTGCAAAACCCAGCTAGATAGAAATGAGCATCTTTTACATCCAAGAGCACCCAACTTTGCTTGACCCTGAGCTTTGTGGAAGCACCCAGAGACTCCCGAGCCCGTTGCCCAAACCCAACACCATTTCATTCGCAGACACTACCTGGACTTGGTCTATTTTCACCACTCACTAGCTAACCTCTCATTACCATATAGCAGCACTGTGTAGAGTAACCCCAAGGACCTCTAGCTTTTTAATATCACTTTTCTTCCATGCAGCACAAAAGCCTAAATAGCTTTTCTCCTCCTCCTTCCCACGTGTACAGCCAAACACTTCTGATGTGGACTAATTTGGAGGGCAGTAAAAAGAGCATACAAAGGGCAGCAAAACACAACCTGTTGGGAAAAAAAAAAAAAAAAAAAAAACAGAACTGGATTTGTCTAGCCTGGAAATCAGAAGGCAGAAAAGACATGATAGCAGTCTTCAATTATGCAAAAGGTTTCTACAAAGAGTGTGAGAATAAATTGCGCTGCATCCCCACGGGGAAGAGGACAAGAAGTAATGGGCTGTAAATTGTAGATTAGACACTAAAAAAAAAAAAAAAACCACAATTTAGTAGCAAAGATTATTTAAGCTTTGGGATAGACAGCTGGGAAGCTGCTGGGATTTGAGAGCAGGTCAAACACTGATGAGGTGGTCGGATAAAGCAGCTCCCATTTTGAGACAGGGGAAGGGACCCCTTGCAATGTATGCTCCTGCCCTGGGCTTTTACCACTCAGTGGCTGGTTCAAGCTAGATTTGCACTGGTTTCTGCTAAGCATGAGGGCACCAGCATCTTTTCTGGGGGTGATGCAGACCACCCCGTGCCCAGCCCTGCACCATGCCCCCCCCCAGGTTATTCTGCCTCCACCTTCTGCAATGCCCATGGTTTTGCAGGTAGCGCAGCATCTCAGCCTGCCCTCCCTGGCACAGGATCAGGGCTGTGCTGGGGCAAGAGAGCACAGAGCTTGTGAATTGCATCTGTCTGTCTGTCCTGAGGACCCACAGCACATCAGGGACCACCATGCAGGTACCACCTCCCCTACCAGGGTTGCTGCAACAGGAGAACATCACCCACCCTTCACTTCCCAGGAGAGATTAATGGCATAGTACAACTCTGCACTCCCTCTGGGTCATCAGTATCTGTGAAGTTGACTCGTCTGGGTCACAGCTCCTTGTTTTATTAGACACGTGCCTCATTTCTCGAGTTTCATGCTCATCACTTCCAAGTGGATCTGTGTATTTTTCTACCAAACAGGCATGTTTGTATTTTAAACAGAGCTAGAGAGGACATGAAGCACAGGCCCACTGAAAACATCTTTAAAAACAACAAAGGAGCCATGCGTATTTAGCAAAACCTCTAACCCAGGAGAGGGCAGCTGCTGGAGGTGCACATACGTGAGCTGCTGAATTGCTGGTCCCATCGAGTGGTGAGAGCTGGAGTGACCCACCAGAAAGCCACGGACCTCCACAGGGAGCAAGCACTGCTCACCTGGAGAGAGGAGGTTGCAGTCACCGTAGGGAAGAGAAATTGGGTAAGGGTCACTGTTCAACTTCCACAGCTGGTAAACTCTCAGAAACCTGTGAAACTGCCTGGGGGGGTGGAAAGCACCTTCCAGTAAATGCCACAATGCTACTCCCAAGCTGCACCGATGGCCCCATTAAGGTTTGTTCCTTATGGCCTGCATATGCCAAAATATACACTTCTGTTTAACAACAGGAAAGCCCATGAAACTTAAAACATCTTCAATTATATTTAATCTCTCACAATAATATGAACACTGCAACAAGGAGTGAAGGGGGGGGGGGGGGGGGGGGAGGAAATGGCTTTAATATTAGAGTGTTCGTGTAAAATGAGACTAAACTTTCCCAAAGTAGGAACTTTTCCAAAAGCAGGCAGTCCCCACTGGAAAAAGCTTTTCAGTAACAAACTTCCAGGACTGTGCTGAAAAAGAAAAAAAATAATACAGTGAAGTGAGAGACAGAGAAAAGCATGGACCTCCCTTTTGAGACCACATTTATGGCCAGCTGAATCACAAGGAAGCTGCATCCT